ACAAAAGGAAAACACACCAGGCCATCGTCTTCTGAAAGATATAATTTAAATGCGATATCTAACAAGTCAGGGTGGAAGTAGCGTGGGTGGAAGACAGAGAGGTTGCAGTGTAGGGTTCCTTAGGGTTCGTGTCCAGGTTTTTAGAGAAGGGGTATATTTGCAGTTAAAATGCGATTCGATTAAAATACAATTTTTTTTAATACCTACTGAACACAGGAAAAGATCAGTATGAGAATTCAACTCAATATAGACCTACACGCGCACGATCACTTTTTCTTAAAAATAAAAGATAAACCAGCAAGCCGAATTTTGAAACAAAAATAAGAGTTAATTTAATAATATGGGAAAATATCGCCCAATTTACCACCTGTGAAATTTCTGAATTTTAGCAAAAACGAATCGGTATAGGATATCTAGTTTCAGTCTACAATATTGCCAAGCGTTTTATACAGACAACACAACTTGATTCTAAGTCGTTTAGGGCTAGGAGTGTTGTACACATCAGATAATTGTTCACTATTCAAAAACATCTTCTTGCATTGTGAATTTTCACTAAAAATAATGTCTTGTAAAATCTAGAACAACTTTGTAACAATATAAGTTTAAGTAGCATGAGTCAAATACAGTGAGGTCTCAGGGTTTTTGTGTAATGTGGTACGATTTCCAACACATTGTCATACCTGCGCAACATAGGTGAACATCAGTACAAAATATTCAACTCGGTAGCGCGCATAGTCAGTTTTCTTTAAAATACGAAGCCAGCTACACAACTTTACTAAAACAGATACTGAATAAAATCTTAATTTCAGAAGAGAAAAAGTCGATACCGAAATGATGTGTTTAATCTACATAGTGCACAGAGTTTTCAACACAAAAATCGTGCCGCCATAGAAGGATACACAGTGAAACCTGGATCCCAGGTATACATTGTTCATAATGAGATAATATTTTACTTCCCCCAAACATATTCTCGTATTTAGTATTTCCATGTCAATGTATTTTGAATAACTAGATCAACTTCATCAAACATCTACTTACACTTTTTTTGTTCTTGCTCTCCGGGACCGCGAAGAAAAATAAGACCAAAAGTGAGAAAAGTTGCCAATGTCTGTCAGACAGCTTAGGAGGTGGATGTAAAAACTGAAAAATGACGAAGCAAGTGCAGTACTGATACAAACTGAAAAGCCGGTTTTCTGTAGTTTTGAAAGTACGTTTCCATAGGCTTATTGTTTACATTGTTCGAACTTAATAATACAGGGACCCCACTTATGGTTGAAGAGATGGACAACAGTCTATTCGTATACATAAAAAAAATAGAGTTCCATTAATGTTTAACAAACATAATGATATTAAGCAACATGTTGTTTAATATTTGACACTATAGGGGGACGGTACTGGGCGGAATTTCGCTCGTACCCACCGCCCAAAAAGGGCGCTGGGAAGGGTTAATTTCTTCTGGATGTATCACGTGATTTCTTCCAGCCCTCATTGGAAAGAATTGACACCTGTGCACAAAATACGTGCATGGTTGAGGCAGTGAGCTCCCAACAATGCTGTGCGCGCCTGTCAAGCTTCCTTCGCAAATCTTTGTGAAGGAGATTAGCCCTTCCCTGCGCCCTGTTTGGGCGGTGGTTAAAGAACGAAGAGCAGAATCTGCCGCTAGCTGGTGCTGTTTATCGCGGCTCCATGCTGGCGGCAGTTGAGTCACAGGAATAGAAGGAAAAGGCCAGAAAATGGAAATGGTTGCAAACGTCGGTCGGTAAAGAGAATGGGAAAACAAACTGAAGAGGTTGGGACAATCTAGTACGCCTACTTATAAACTACATAACCGTGTCTGCAGTTTCGGTGGTAGGCCTATCATCTAATATCTTATGATGTTTATCGGGACTTGGAAACAGTTGAAGATGATATGAAATTGAACAAGGGTCGATAATAATATTTGGCTAGATCAGATCCGTTAATGTTTAACCCACATAGTGATATTTGGATTCCGTAACAGCCAAACAATAAACATTTGAAACTCTTAGGTCACAGACTCTTGCTTATTCATGTTTCATACCATGTTGTTCAAACTGTACAGCGTGATATATGAGCAATTACAGAACAATACACAAGGCAAATCCATAGTTGAGATGCTACAGTGTTTTACACTGATGATCCACAATAAGCGACCAATCACGTAGACTGACTGTTTGCATTTGGGTTCGTGTGACAATTGCAGACTGACCACGACAGGCGTTATTAAACGTATCAACCGGTGGGGGTTTACCTGTCAAGATATGGGCTGGGGGCAGGAGGGGGGGGGGGTTGCAGGGTTGCGGGGTTGGCTTCAACCCCTACCTCCACCATATACATCCGATACACGCCGTCACCGGAGTTTTTTCCTGTAACTTACCGTAAAGGGTGCAGATCTGTGAATAGGCCCAGGATTGCAGGCCAAATAACGATTTGTATACCCTCAAATTCTCCGGTGATAAAGCATTTTTGTAAAAAAAAAAAAAAAGGTGGTAGCCGTGCAGAGGACTGCAAACTCGTATTTCTGGATGAAATTACGCCCTAAAATGGCTCTATTTTGCAATGGGGCGTAGGCGTCCTTTTGCAACATGGCGATGGGCTCCAGTACTGCTTTTAAGGGTGATCATCTTTGGATAGAATTTTCTGTCAAAAGTCACAGGTTAACCCCAAAAAAAGTGAACAGAAAATGAAAAGTGATGAAATATGCTATAATTTGATGGGTATTTGAAACACATTGGAGAGTTGTGAGTATTTGAAATAATTTGTGGAAGTACGCGTAATTATCACTGAGGTCTGGGAGTCGATTTGTAGGTCTGCACCCGCAATAAGGGAGGTCGGAATGTGACGTCACCTGACATATAATAAGGGTAGCCCAACTTCCAAAAAACTCATAAAATAAAGGACTCTCATCAAGTTACACCTTGTTTTATTTATTACTTATTATTATCAAGATGGTAAATTTGTGAAAAATTCAATGGCTTTGGGGTGATTTAAGTGCTCTTTAACTTATCCTGAAGCAATTGCCGTAATAAAAGAATCCCTTCAAAACAGTGTCAAAAAAGAACATCTTCCGGATCCTATTTTATCCGCTTTAATACCGGAGTCTAATGTAGCGCACGTATCTACAAACAATTAGGAACTCAAGGCGATGTCAATAATGTCTATTTTTAAATAAACGGAAATGAAATTTATGAGACAAATGAGACCCATTATGTAACAACTTTATATAAAGGGTTTACAAGGTGCTGCGGCGCGGCAAACCCCTTCTCTTAGCGACAGGTGTTACTGGGTTCTTGAACGTACATTACACAACACACGGGACCTACAGCTTTACGTCCCATCCGAAGGACGAAGCAATAATGGTAAAGAGCCTTGCTCAAGAGCACAAGGATCATGGTCCCCGTCAGGATTCGAACCCGTGTACCACGAGCCAGTACAATTATTGTAAATGATTAAAATGAATCGGGCGTTCCGAACTAGGGTTAGAAACTGTTGCCAATAGAAACTGCCAACAGTGGAGTATGCAAGAGCATGGCTGTTTGCTGACGGGGGTGGGGCGGAGGGGAGGGCGCGGGGCAAGCAGACTCTCTATGCCGGAAAGGGTTGCATGAACGCCTCCTGATTATTGGAGGCGTTTTACAAAGCAGGCTATATTGAATACCATTGCACAATAGGTGGTGTTCTTCGTTGAGCCCCCTCCTTCCTATTACAGCATATGGTTGCAAAGGGCGATTTATAAAGGTTACGTAACAGTTGATTTTGAATGAAACTACATGTACACAGACGTGGTCACGTTGGCGGGTGAAATCTTTGAAATTAATTTCTCCAGTTTGGAACCGTATCTTCATGCAACTTTCAGGATTTACTTCTCCTATAATGATCCAAGTATGTGCTAAAAGTCGTTGTGGTTATGTTCATTACTTTTCGTTGAAATCGGAAAAATAGGCCTTGCCACGTGCAATTTTGAAAAATGTAACACTGGCGTGCGCAATATCTATCAATCTTTTCAAGCCTCACGAATACTAATGAGGTTCCTATCCATTACGGTGTGCAGTAAACAATGGGATAAAAGACTCCTTCACGAGTTGTTAACAAATATCACCCTTTTTGCCGGCTTCCATTGGTCGATACCGAGACCCACGCCATGTCACGCCGAGTGACGCTAATGAATTTGCTAATATGCCCGTCATCATTGTGTGCTGGGCCGAAATCGGTCAGGTGTAGCGCCTACGGCGCTTTGCTGAACAATGCACATTGGTTGGGTCAGCAAATATTTTTTTTGATTTTCTTCGAAATTTCCATGGAGATTGTTCACGTTGTAATTACACTAGCCTCTGCAACAACAGAGTAAGCTGAATTTCGGAAAATACTTAGATGAAATAACAACTGGGATAAATTCCTAGAAATTGGGATAAATACATACATTTGGGGAATTTTTCGACAGTAACCAGTAATGAGGTTTCGGCATCGATGACGACGATTTTTTTTTCACTGACATGAAGTTTAGAATTTCTTCTTCAGTTAGAATGTAACATTTCAATCATACCGAGCATATATTCTGAGAAACACAACGTTCAAAATGCCATGTTTTGGGGTTCACGAATTTCACTGCTCCGTTATAGCATCTAAGTACGTATTCGGATAAGTTTGGCAAACAACGGCGACGCTTTGCGGTTAGCAACCATATGGCTGATTAGGCCACTGGATATTGCCAACTATGATTTTGTCAACATAAGGGTTACGAATGGCCATCTAGGATTAGATGTCGCTTACTGGAATTAGATAACCAGATGTCAGATATCGGCCGACGTAACCAAATAGGGTAAGGTGTTACCAACAAGGGTAAGATGTTTTCATCAATGTGGTTAGAAATGTTCAGCACTAAAATCGAAGGAGAAAGATTGGTGTGGGGTACTCAGTTTATGTTTTTACTTTTTGTTCAAAAATGATTTCAAGCTCAGCACAAGTCTAAGAGTGGCGCCCATTTGATTAACGACCATTGATTAATTTATACAGGCACAGAAGTTTTTGCTATAGTGGGGTCGAAAATACACCAGTAGATGAAAACTGCTCGCATTCACATTTGTATGCAATGAAATGTATTTAAAGTAAAACAATTCAATAATATATGTTTTACATGCGTTTCACTAAGATCTATTTAAATGATAAACCATATTACAATCAATTTAAACAGGCTAGCCTATATTGTATAAAAAAATAATCTTAGCATTGTTTATTTGCTATATATAAATGCTTTTTAATAAGTTGTACTTTAAGAGCAGAAATATCGGCCTACAGTTTGCATAGCGATATAAACGAAATGGAACACTAGCTGGAAACCGGCATAACATTTGTGAACATCAGTAATATGTAAATTGTTTATTTTAATTCCTAAAGCAAAGATTTCATGATAACTGCAACAGGTAAATGTATGAACTATGATAAAACCAAAAACCACTTAAACGAATCCAACAAAATCTTCACACTATAAAGAAAATGTTTGGGCTCATCAATTCTATAATTGAATTTGAAATTTTCTTCACGATTCTGTACATCCTAGAGAGGGATTTTTTTGGGGGGACACCCTGTATAACTGCTAAACAGCTTACTATAAATTGATCTGAAATATACCATCCAACAAAATGTTCGAGGGCCTAAAGTTTCGATCCTGAGCAGGGTCTCTCTAGCAGGAGATCTTTAATTTTCCTTTGAGAAAGATCATGCAACGACCTTAACGTTAAGGCCTCAACGTGGCAATACATGTATTTGAATTGAGCAGAAAAGAAGTGGAATTTCTGCTAAAACTATAAAACGTCAAACCAACCTAAACTAAACTGAAGAAGCAGTAAAGTAGCAGTATCGGAAGCAAAATAACAAGGCCCATGCATGCTTGCGTTCTCAATTAATTAAGGAGCAAAAACAGTAAAGCACATCGGATAGACAGTTATAACAGATTTATCTGTTTTCTGTCACACCACCATACACAACACGTAATAATGAGGTTCATCTGTGGATGAGACGCTATGGTCTACGACGTTAAAACAAACCGCTACAATTGCGTTGGCATTACAAATGTACAAGTCCACAATCCCTCTTTGTTCGCTTACCATATAAACTTACATTAGCTTGTTAATTAAACAACATATACACTGTGTCCAATTGGAGAAAGAAACTTCTATACAATTAATACGAAAAAAATGTATGTAAAAATTATGTAGTGTTACGAAACATTAGGTAAGTGCCAATACCAGTGTGACCAAGGGAGTGCCTGCGTCGGTGGTCCTGATTTACCTTTTTTTCTGCCACAAACAAATGAGGTATAATTATTTAAAGTATATGGCCGCGTCCGAATTACTTGACTAAGGTTGGAAATTACAAAATTACAATCTGCAGCCACTTTATAGATCGTGTATTATTTCCAGTCGTGGCCAAGTAGTTTTGATGTGGACTAACTCTATTACCACCGTGCATAGTCAGTTACGATAATGCGCATGCGTCAATTGCGAACGGACTGGTTCTCGGACTTAAATTTCCCTAGCAATCATCCAGCAGCAATAACCTGGAAGAGTCGAGAGGGCAACCGGACCGCTACAGTTTTAAGTGTATACATACAAACTCCAATTAAAGATTGTGAGAGTTCCACATTATGAATTTCCTAAATGATAGGACCACAATTCCAGTTCTATTCTCTTTTATTTGGGGGAGCATTTATGACTGATTGCCTCCTACAGGTTCATACACGTCATCGTTGTTCCCCGGTGTGAGCTCTTGGTAGACTTGTGGAGGCTCGTCTGTCTGTATGGTATCCTGATATCCATCGTTGCTGCCTGCTCTTTGTATTGCAGTTGAGCACTCCTGATCAGCGACTTCATTGACGTAGACTCCGTCTGAGTTGGATGCCTTTCCTTGGTGGAAGGTTACAGCAAGCTCAGAATTCTGCGGTCCAGGAGATGCAGAGCTAGTCTTGTTGTGTCTCTTCTTGTAGCGCCGTCGAAGGCAAATTACCAAGACGAAGACAATGAGCATAAAAACGATGGTGATGAATACGGCGGGGAGAACAACAGTAGCCAAAGAGATTGTTGGCGTCACTCTCGATTTCAAGTCTGTAACAGTCAGATTGACCACAGCGCTGTCCATTTCACCCAAGACATTTTGGGCCAAACACGTGTACATTCCTTGATCAGATAGCTCGACTGAAATGACGAGCAAAGTCATGTCGCTTGAAATGATAAATCTGCCTTGCCATTCGTCTGGTATCACCGTGCCGTTGGGATCAAGCCACATTACGTTGGGGATTGGTATACCGGTCGCTTCGCACGAAAGAGTCGCTGTCTGACCAATTATCAGGTTAAGATGGTTCACGTTAGTCATGGCCTTCGGAGGATTGCAGATGAAATCATGAATGTCCAAGTCGATTACCACTGCTCCTGAGTTCTGCGATGGACCTTGACATCGAGGGAGAACAGCTGGGTGATTGTTGCGAAGCCAGTCACGTAGACCCATCAACCGGCAGTCACACTGAAGCGGGTTGCCTTCAAGCTCAAGTCTGGATAGCTCTCTGTTTCCACCAGTAAGAGAGTCACCAGGAATTACTTCGATCTGGTTGAAACTTAAGTTCAGGAATTCCAAGTTATCACAATGACCAAGTATCAAGCTGATGTTAGAGATTGAATTGTGAGCAAGCAGGAGCTTTGCCAAGTTGCCGAGGATACAATTTCCGATATCAAAGACTTCAAGTTTGTTTGAAGAGAAATCAATCGTAGTAAGGCCAGGCATCTGCCGAAACATCTCCGAGTGGACGTAAACCAGTCGATTTTCGGCGAGATACAGACGTTCCAGCGAGTCCAGACCGAGGAAGTGGTCCGGATGTAACTCGGAGAGTTGGTTGTTTGTGATGGAAAGCTCTACTAGGTCAGCTTGGTTGAGGAATATGCCACCCAACAATGACGTCAGGGCGTTGCCATCGAGATACAGATACCGTAGCATAGTGAGTTGACTCAGAGCGGTTGATGAGATGAACAAGAGTCGATTATTTGCTAGATGGAGCTCCGTCAGGTTGACAAATCCTTGTAGGGTTGTAGAGGACAGGTTGGCCAATATATTATCATCAGCGTATAAGATCTGAAGACCTTCTGCCCAATCTGGCTGTACTAATGAATCAAACAAATTGTTCCTGATGTCTAACTCCTCCAATAAGGCTTCTCCTCTCTTATAGAAATTCCATCCACCCAATTCGTGTAATCCATTGCTGGCTATGATGAGCCTGGAAGGAATGTCTGCGTAAAAATTTTGGAGTCTGTTATGACTAAGAGAGAGTAGGCCTTGATAATAAGAACCAAAATACCTGAGGCTCCCATGTGTGATTGCGTTGTTATCTAGTAAAACGGTCAAATTGGTGCCAGAAATTTGCCCAAGTATGTCGAAATCCCATATCCTGTTGAATCGCATGCTGATAAATGAGGGGATGTTGGAAAGGGTATGAACTACAACACTTTGTATTTCATTTGAATCAGCTGAAAATCTCTTTAAACTGCGACAAGAAGGAAAATGGTCCAAGTAACTGAGTGAGTTGTAGTCCAGTGACATCTCTTCGAGAGAACTAAGCGAGCAAGAAGAAGGCAAGTTAGAAACGACATTACGCTGTACCGATAACTTCTTCAGGCTCCCCAACCCGGTTGACTGCAGCAATGGCGTCACATCAGATATGGCGTTGTTGTCAAGGTATAGCTCAACCAACCTCGTAAATTTCCCGTTGAAGTCGCCTGGTTCTAGCATCGATATGGCGTTGTGGCTGAGATCCATGATGAGGGAGTCTGGGTAGTTGACGGGGATACATGTCAGATTACGGGAGGAGCAGTCGGCCCTTGCAGTCACGTGGTCGTAATCACACTGCGCATGACGACAGGTAGATGATTGGGAGATTCTGAAGGAAATCCCGATACAGAAAAGGAAAGCGAGCAAAGCCATCACCATCTGAAATCAGTCAAAACAACAAGAACCGTAAGTATGTTGATAACAGCAATGAGCTTCCAGACATGATTTTTCGGATTTAGTGATTAATCTGACGAGATGTTTGCTCATTTGAAAAGTTTTCACTTACTATAGGACCACATGCCTCGAAAGTCATCGAGGATGCCGTCTATTCTTAATTTAGAGACATTAATATAAAGCATTACATACCACGGCCCAATTTCAGGACGCTGCTTAATAGAAGGGAAGTTGTGCTTACTTAAGCAGAAAATTCTGCTAACCTTAAGTATTATAACACCTCACCCACAGATTCTGTGTCTTGATTGGCCGAGAGCGAGTCACATGTTACTTTCTAATTTTGCTATCTTTCTGTGCACGGCCAAAAGTACTATGCGCATAGCAACCAAAGTACTATACCATTAGCAACCAAAGTACTATTTCCACGGCGCGGTATTTGTGTGCAAATGGATGCTGGTGTGCGCGTTGCGCGTATTGTTCCAAAGAGAGCGCGCCACAGACTTGGGTTCAAACATTTCGTGAAGGGGTAGTTTGGAAGACAGAAATACATTTTCCACCAATTTTGTATTGAAATTGAAGTTATTTCAACTGTGTTCAGATAAAGATAATTTAAAATATTAAAATCAAGCAGAATCTGTGTGTGAAGTGTTATAAAACAAATATTGAATGCTCGGTGATCCATGGACCATTCTATTTTCCCTCGGCTTCGCCTCGGGAAAATAGAATGTCCATGGATCACCTCGGGAGGCAAGTTTTACTACACCACTCGAAGCATTCAATATTTGTATACTATTTCATGGTGTAGATGTGCTAACGGTTCGCGCGGGCATGGAGATTTCTATTGTGACGTCACTAAATTAAGCAAACTTTTCCTCGGAGGCAAGTGTGCCTTTTGCTGTGCTATATACGTGGTCTCCGTGACACAGACAGATGCTCTGTAGGCAGAAAATCGCGCTCAGTTGACTTTTTAATAGGCAAAACCGCAAGTCCCATCATAAAGAATAAGTTAAGGCCAAAAAAAAAAGTCGGTCTCTGGTCAGCGCGCGCGTCGATTTTAATCATGCGCGTCGATCTTTTTTCCCCAAAATGTTCCGGTAGCTCCAACAGCGCCCTCTATTTCCGCACCTCCCCAATTTTTTTTTAACAAAGAGCACCAAGGAATGGGAAATTGCACCAAGGCAAATGATCGAAAGCACCAAGGCAAATTATGGAGGACACCAAAAAAAAGCCGCGTGGCCGCGTCAATTCCGGAACTTTGGTCTGACCAGAGACCGAATATTATTTTTTTTTTGGCCTAACCGGACCATTTTTTTTTTTCTAAAATTCTCTAATGAATGGGCTTCTGAAAAGAAGTTTTGCAAATGGAAAAGACACTTTGGAAACATCCAATCAGATTGGATATTATGCTTCATGAATTTCTGAATAAACGAGCATTTTTAAACAGCATTTAGTTACTATTATTTTTTTGGTGTGGTGGTGGGACGGGGGCGGGTGGGGGGGGGGGGGCTAGACAGACGATAATTAGAATGGTGCAATAAGACCGACAGCGGGCGCAATAATTTTGATTAGAGTTTCAAAAATTTCAACGCGAGTCATTTGCACAGAAAGTGACCCAACAATTTTTTGTAAAAAACGAGACCGTCTAGTTTCAAAATCGGTGGAATCGTGCGAATATAGCGGAGGATCATCTCCCTAGCTTTTAGGCTTTTATCTAATAGCAGATTTGATAAAATTAGGGTCCAAAAATGGGTCCTTTTTGCACGAGAAAATGTAGGGATGCCATTGGTAAATTTGGCAGTATGCAGGCTCAGCATTACCGGCAGGCTCCATTACCGGCACACTTTCGCAAAACTTGGCTCTGCCAGCTTTCTGTGCAACTCCTCACTGGCCGAGGGTTTTGTGCGTAAACCCTGTCAGTCAGCCGATCACGCTCAACTGGCTTAGGTGAAACCGCAAGTCCCATCATAAAGAATAAGTTAACCGGACCATTTTTTTTCCAAGAGTGTGTCTCTAATGGTCACGTGTGCCTAACATGCAGCGCCATGAAATTAGGCCCACATGATAGTCTGTGTAATGACGGTTGTATAATGATGGCGGAATGATGACTAGTGTTTCCGCATAGTACGGAGCTCTGGAGGGCAATCCTAGATATACTGACATCCTAAAACAATTTATCACGGGATGACGTCTGACATGTTATATATCGACATCGTCGGATAATCTTCACTGAATGACCACAACCTACAAACGGAATGTCGACATCCAATTTATAACGGGATGCCGACATCTTGCACGTCAGATGCCGACATCGCGCATGATGATGTTCACTCGATGACGACAAAATAATAGGATGTTAACCAACGAGATAATTTATCAAGAGGTGGCGATATCCTTAGATAATTTATCCCAGTACATGTATGTCGACATCCTGCTGTCATCTGTTGATAACTTTAGCTCAGGATGTCGACATTTTACGCATGAGATGGTGTCAAAACCATATACCTCTACAGCTCCGTATATTTACCAGATATTCAGATCCAACTTAAATCAACGTCACGCCAAGAGTGGCACTACCCTCGATCCTCGCGCACCAATGGATACCCAACTGTCTTCAGTCTGTGAATCCTAAGTTTAGGCTGTCACCATAAGTCACAACTGCTTTGTACATTGTACAATCAGCCAAATATGTGGGTTTTCCACACCCAAAACACTTGCCCACCATTGGAAGATCTGTGAAATCAACAGGGGCATCATGGTATATAGAATCAAACGTATATACCTTAAAGTATCGGAACGATATAATTATAATCCATGTAGTTCCTACAAGTTGAATGGAATACAAGAAGGCGACTTACATCAATCCTTCCTCGTTCTCCGTAACCAAAAATGAAGATGAGATAGTGCCCAGATTCTGAGGAGTGATGCAAAATGTAATGCGCCGTCTGGTAAAGGCGGAAATAAACCACACAAGGTGGAACGAGACTAGGCCTATATGCTATAGTTTTTCCGAACTACGCAATAGATTTCCTACCAATTTTGTATTGAAATCGCAGGTTTTGTTAAAGCTCAGTGAACTTGATATTGAAATGATGGGACTCCATAAAGGCCACCAGTTAGCATAAAAGAAACGTTCACTCTTGGAAGTTGTACAGTGTGGCCCATAATACATTCATAGGAGTGTGCGAATGTTCTGATTGAACCTGCAGAATGCCCTTGCTATTGTGGCAGTATTTCTAAACGACAGTTAGTCATACACCGAACTGTCTGGCAAACAGTTAAACTTTTATACGATTTTCCCAGAATTCTTCTGTAACCCACTTCTACGCATGAATTCAGCACATATAGTTTTTGGTAACACGGCACTTCTGTTTTGATGATCGATATTGGGCTTATGTTTAAACGCGATTTCAGAAATGCTTTCGTTGGTAACTTTGACCGTACAGTATTTTTCCAGTAGAAGCATCATAAAACTTTTAACATCGTGCAATTAGTAAGCGAACTGCGTATTCTGTTTTAAAGGTATACTGAAGATAGTCCACCCTGGTTTGTTTTTAAAAAAAATACATTTATCCATTATACATTGTGGCATTTCTTGGCCTCCATACACGTAAAGATACAGGGGAGCTTAAGGGACTTCCCCTTCCATTGATATTCAAATTTCTGAACAGGATTTTGGCCCCCCCCCCAAAAAAAAGTACCATACAAAGGCTGATATTGTTCTCTCGTCACAAATCGGTAAGCTTCATTAAAGTACTACAATAGTTCCGCATTCAGGTAATAGTACATATTCAGTATTTTCTGCAACAGGTTTCACGGTCACCTTTTACTACACATCAGACATACCGGGAAAATATTGAGGAAACATTTACACCAAATCCGACTCTTCTATATTCCCGAACGAGCTTTTTTTGTGTCTGATAAACCTCTGCACGCGTGTATCCTCACATCAAGCGCATAGTTCCGTCAAATTCATCAACCCCAACATTAATGCGCTCGACGTAAAAACAAAAATCCAATTGAGAGGTGACGTGGCAACTTGAAAAATAAGTCTAATCTTAATCAAACGCGAGATTGCCATTCAGTTCAACTAACTCCATTTTTCCCTAGGCCTCCTGACGAATTGTCAATTGGTATGTTTTAATTAACCGCCAAAAACCCCACTTTTTTCCATTTGGTTGTCTACAATCTTCTGAAACAGTCGTGAATAATTAGCAATATAACAGTTATTAACTTTTTATATTGCTAGAAAAAAGGAATACAAAAATTCTAATTAATAACGAAAAATTCTAAAAGAAAAGCACGTTCAAAGCAACTTTACTGCGCTTCTTATGCAAAAAAAAAATAAGATACAACTACTGAGTTTAAAAGTCACGGCTTTATAATCAATAGTTTTCTAAATGGAACAAAAGACAAGTTTTTAATAATTCAATATAGGCCTATTGAATTTTAGTTGCATAACACAGTTCCATTCTTGATTGATAAATAAGTATTAAAGTGGACTGTTTGAATTTGTCTTGAACGTAAAACACTGCATGCAAAAGACAAACACAATTCAATTTTGGGTTCAAACCTGCAATTTCAGATTTTCCGGGTTTGTGGTTTACTGATTTATCCCACATTTCTTCGTGACAAAGTTCAAGTCAAAATGAAATTGAAAAAAAAAACCCACAAATGTTGCATTGAAATTATCCATCCAATCATGCATGATTTTTCGTTGGTTTACGTCAAACAATGTTGAAGCAGGAGGTCGTGGGTTCGAGTCCCACCCGAGTGATTTTTTCCAACTTTCACTCGGGGGTAACACACTGAGTATACAGTGTTTATACGTGGGTGAAGGGCAAAACACCTAATTTCATTCAACTAACGTATCATGTCTTTCAGTTGCTTGGCAGGAAAACATTAGATTATCGACGAAGCTCTCATGCAAATATCACCCTGTATAAATGTTTACATGTAAATGTTAATATCAAAGTACAGTCGACCTTTATAACAAGATCCTTGGGACTTTACGAATTACCTTGTTATAACAGGGACCTTGTCTTATCAGTAATGGAAAACAAAGAAAAACAAAGAAAAACAAAGAAAAACAAAGAATTGGGGACTAAAAATTGTGCTTGTTATAAGCAGGATCTTGTAATAACAGTGCTCTTCTTATCAGGATTCGACTGTATCTGATCAACATTCCCGCGGTGTATGATCTAACACATCTGGAAACACGATTGTACCTCCTCAGCCCAAATCAGAATCTGGGAGATCTTCACATTTAGAGGGGTGCAAACCTGGAATATGTGCTGCCGTCTCATCTTATAAACCTGTCTATACTGCCAACATTAAGCACCTCATACCATTCATTATAGTAGTCGTTTCTATAGGTTATTTGGTTGTAGTCTTGATTTCTTAGACCTTTTATTTTGTCATGCTAAGTTCCCGTAATGTTAATGCTGATCTTTTTCTAATTCTTAACCTAATAGTTTCTTCTTCACAATACATCTTTATCGTAAAAAAACCACAGGAATTCCAGATTTCAAAAGTATTCTGTAAAAATCAAGAAATCTGGAAAAATACCGACAAATATTACCACTGATATCTATGGATGGAGAGCACAGTTAGTAGATTGCTGGTTTTCTGAAGGTCACAAGTTCGCATCGAACTTCATTTTTGTCTTTGGTATCTTTCAAATTACACTGCACGACAGCCCGAATTGAATCGACTTTGCACAACAAAATGCCTTCAAAATAAAATCTGCTGAAAATTCTGCAAGAAAATACTGCTGCAAAACGCTTACTTTGACTGGATTTACCTGACATATGTAAAAAAAAAAAAAAAAATTGAAAAAAAAAATTAAAAATGCAAAATGCCAGGTGTATAGGGATACAAACTCGTCAATTAAAGCTTACTTTGAGTTATAAGATCATTTTCATTGATTGCATTTCAAATTACTGCTTACACAGAATAACCAATTAGCACCTCAGGCGGTTTTGGACGGTTTGAGGCGGTACAGGAAGTAACAGGCAGGGCAGTTTGGGGCGGTACATGGACTGATCGGTTACATAAGCTCACTAGTAATGCATTTCACAGCTACAATCTGGGTCATAATACAGGAAGCTCCGAACGCAGAAACTCTGGCTAAGCAAATCATTATGTACTGAGCAAAAATGAGCAGGAAAACTCACGTACATGGTATACACCACCTGATACTTTGGCTGGACACCTGTTTTTGCTTACCAACATTTTGCTGGTCCCAGAGGGCAGGCTAGTGTCCTCCTTGTACCACTCTCACTGACCGACTGACCGAGTGGCTAGTCACTGGTGACTTAGACTGATTTTAGGCCAGTGAAGAAAGTAATATCATATAGGATTACCCTGAATTAGGTTGGATCAATTAAATAGAATTGTTGTGCACTCTGACTGGTCTGGGACCAGTTTTACTAGGCCTGCCTAGTGTAGTTTTTAAGCCTAATAAAGTCTTGAGCCAAGCACTTCCATGAAATTTGCAACTGGTATCTTTGGATAAAAAAAGCATCAGGCAAGGATGTCACTAATATAATCGGCAGCATCAGGGTGTGTCCCAAACAGCTAGCATCAATGCTTATGGCTGTGGCTAACTGATAATGCATCAATGGCAAGCAAGTAAATCCACAGCCACAAATCACCCAATTGTGGACACAGTCTCATATATTCATGTCCTCGACCTCCTGGTACTCTTCCAGTAGCTCCTCTACCAGGGATGGTGATAAACCAATGGGTTGGCGGTCCTGGGGGAGTCTGGGCTCCAAACGCTGCTGACGATGCGGGGGCCAGATGATGTGAGAGGCTCGCGCATGGACCAGACCCAGAGCAACCTACAACAAAGAATACAATAATCATACATTTATATTGCGAAAATTCCATTTCAATATATGTTCAAATGGTCAAGCATAGAAATCCATATAACATCAAAAAATGTATAACTGTGGTTCATGAAAAAAAATTTACACTAAAAAACTATTCACAGCTACACCCATTACACGTACTTGTGCATTTACCGTACACTCCTTAAAAAAAAATACAAATACACTTACATTAGGCCAAAAAAAAAAAGTCTCCGGTTTCTGGTATGCGCGCGCGTCGCCGTAGCCATGCGCGTCGGCAAAATGAAAAAGTTTTTTTTCCAATAAAAGATGATGTCTCAAAACTGCCAAACTCACTGGTTTGACTGGAATCCTGCTGCTGCACAATTTTAACGTGTTTTTAGATTGGGTTATGGTCTAGAATAAGCTTTATGTGGCCTCTGACTCCTATATATTTGCACTAAGTTTAGTCGGGCACCATTTGCAGTCATCAGAACGCATTTGAAGCAAAAAAATCAGGTAAAAAAAAAAAAAAAGCCGCGTCGCCGCACCACTTTTTGGGCAAGCTCCATACCAGAAACCGGAGACTTTTTTTTTTGGCCTTACAATACAGTTGAACAAAATATCCATAAAAAAGCTTTCTGCAGCAACAACATTCATATGTCTTTAAAAATATGATTTAAAATTATCAGTGCTTTGGTGCAGCACACACAATTTATTTGAGCTGTTATTTATTAAATAACTTTACCTAGAGTATGCCCAAACAGTGAAAAACAAATTAGTTCGCTGGCTATCACAGCATACATCACATATTACTCCCGATAATTAAAAACAGTAAAACCATTTGAAAACAAGATAGTGTGGACTTAAACAACAAAATATGTAAAAAAAAAAATCTACATTTCTGTGAATGAACCCTGAAATATTAAGTAAGAAAGAAGTCATTCGTGACAAAAAATGAAAATCACATTTCGTCGAAATGTTCACCCTCTCAACGTTGAGCGGGGGTCCGCTCATAAGTCCAACGCCTCATAGGTCCGACGCCTCATAAGTCTGACATTTCGGACTTGTGAGTCATCAGACTTACGAGGCATAAAATTTATTTATTCCGCCTTATAGATCCGACGCTGCTTAAGTCCAACGCCTCACAGCTCCGATGCCTCATAAGTCCGAAACAGCGTTTGTCCATTGTCGGCCTTATGAGGCGTCAGACTTATGAGGCATTGGACCTACTGGGCGGAATTTATGCTTCGTAATTCCTATGAGGCGTCGGACCTATGAGGCGTCGGACTTATAATACGGCCCTGTTGAGCGAGCCATTACGTGATAATGCACTGGGCGACTTAAAACCCTGTTTTGAGAAACGGGTCACAATTTCAATCACTCACAGGTCCGAAGTAGTTGCTGTCGAGGCTGACACTGTGGTGGTCTCCCTCTATCCAGCAATGGCCCTCCGGTATCGTCACATAACGGTTCTTGTAGCTCAAAGTCCTGAATAAGGGAACAAGACAAAAGCATTCAATATTCAATCGAGCAAGACAGTTCGTTTCCTGTCCCATTATTATATCAAGTAAATATAAGATATCTTTTTGGGACTCGAGTTACAGAGCTCGCATCAGGAGCTTGCGACACCATCACGGTGTCTTTATCACCTGGCGTTGTTGAGGCCCTCACGTGACCACTTGCACGTGACCAAGCTTGGTCACATGACAGGAAGCGTGGTCGTACACGGGGTCCAGCCAGCTGTACCCTCCATCTCGGTTCATATGGGGGTGGTGCCTGAAAATTACTACTGCCACAAGGATTTTGCATTTCCAGAGGTCGTCCTCCAATAATTCAATGTTAGTACACCATGTTTGTGTACGAGCTCGCGCTGCAACTTATTTTTTTCTGAATGTGTCTTGGCGTGAGCTTCAGGCGACATTAGCAAGGAGCTTGAATGTCTTCTCCCAGTGGTCTCCCCCAACTCTCCCTTTCTTACCGTTGAGGGGGTACATGTAAACGGAGCCCATGGGCAAGACACCATGCTGTAATTGCGTCCATGAACTTTTGTTGCCCCATCAAGATTGTGTGTCTAGGCCAACCCGATGATTCTGAGCATGTGTACATGTGTACAAAGGTAAGACACTTTATTGTAATCATGGTAATTGCTTCAATGAGTTTTTGCAGCCTGATCAGTTCGTGGGTCTGATGAGCCAAGCCGGGGATCATGACTGTGTGTACAGAGGAAAGACAGTTCACTGCAATTGCTCCAATGAAATTTTGCAGCCTGAACAGTATGTGGGTCTGAGCAAAGCTGGGGATCATGGCTTTATGTCCAAAGGAAAGGCAGTTAATTGCAATTGCTTCAACAAAAATTTGCACCCTGATCAAGATTGTGTGTCTGAGCATAGCCGGAAATCATGGCCATGTGTCCATAGGCAAGACAGTTTACTACCATTGCTTCAATGCAATTTTGCACCCTGATCAAGATTGTGGGTCTGTGCCAAAGCGGGGATATGGCTGTGTGTCCACAGGCAAGACAGTTTACTGCAATTACTCCAATAAAATGTTGTAGCCCTATCAGTTTGTGGGGCTGAGCCAAGCCGGGGATCATGGCATGTGTCCAAAGGAAAGGCAATTTACTGCAACTGCTCCAATGGAATGTTCAGTCACCTGATCAAGATTGTGGGTCTGAGCAAAGCCGGGGATGCATGGCCATGTGTCCATAGGCAAGACAGTTTACTAAAATTGCATCAATGAAATTTTTCACCCTGATCAAGATTGTGGGTCTGAGCCAAGTCGGGGATCATGGCATGTGTCCAAAGGAAAGACAATTTACTGCAACTGCACCAAAGAAATGTTATCACCTGATCAAGATTGTGGGTCTGAGCAAAGCCGGGGATGCATGGCCATGTGTCTATAGGCAAGACAGTTTACTAAAATTACTTCAATGAAATTTTTCACCCTGATCAAGATTGTGGGTCTGAGCCCAGCCGGGGATTATGTATTCCATGCACGGAATAAAGTGGCTGCTCTAAATTATGGAGGGAGGCAGGAACCAATACAAACATCAGACCTGTGTGTTAATTGAAAGAAAAACTCTCAATGTAATCAGATCCACACACTATGCTCTTACTTAATTGTGTCTCCTTCCAGCGCAATCACCCGTTTTATAAGAACTTCATCTGGACGGCTAGGGGATCTGTCAGGAAAAGTGAAAAAAAATGTCATTTATTGCGCAAGAGAAGTCTTTTGGGTCATTCCATAAATTTGGGGTCCAATCGTTTTTCCTGTCCCTGTTGCATCTGATATGAGATTTTGTAAATTCAGGCCATTCTTTGCTTCCTTTTATCTAGAAGACTGATTATATAAAAGCAAAGTTTTGCAAAAAAATAGTCAATTTTAAATGCGTGCAAGTACTAGTTCCTGCACATACATGACATATTGCGCAAGGTATGCACGACTCACTTCCATCTGAATTTGAGCAAACCTGGAGTGCTCATTTTGCTCAAGCGTCAGGCACTGGCGACAATATGCTTGGATGTCCCTCCCAATGGTCTCCCCCCCCCAACTTTTCCTTTGTAACTCTTGAGGGAGTGCTTGTGCATGGAGTCCATAATGGAACAAACCTCCATGTTAAATGGGGTGAAGTAAACACTGAGTAATCGATATTTCGGAAATCCAATATCTATTATCCCAAGTAAAAGTTAAAGACCATCAGGCCAAAAAAAAAGTCTCCGGTTTCTGGTATGCGCGCGCGTCGCCGTAGCCATGTGCGTTGGCAAAATGAAAAAGCTTTTTTTTTTCAATGAAAGATGATGTCTCAAAACCGCCAAACTCACTGGTTTGACTGGAATCCTGCTGCTTCACAATTTTAACGTGTTTTTAGATTGGGTTATGGTCAAGAATAAGCTTTATGTGGCCTCTCTGGACTCCCATATATTTGCACTAAGTTTAGTTGGGCACAATTTGTAGTCATCAGCCGACATTTGAAGCAAAAAAATCAGGTAAAAAAACAAAAAAAAAACAGCCGCGTCGCCGCACCACTTTTTGGGCAAGCTCCATACCAGAAACCGGAGCCTTTTTTTTGGCCTAAAGATGATACTTTGATTAGAAAATTAAAAAGTTAAAGTCCCGATTTTCCACGGGTTCCTCTTGAGCAAGCTTTTTAAAACAAATCTCAGCACTGACAGTTTGTCCAGAAAAGAACAGGCTGTTTCTTTTGAGGTTTTACACTGGGGAGACTGCGAATTCCAGCGAACGCAGAGCACAAAGTGATGCCGCTTGGCATTTGGCGCTGGTTTATTTTGCATCAAAAGCACATGTTGCCGCCGACTTTTAGTTCATTATACAGCAAACGTTAAACACAAAGTAAAAGCACAAACGGGACATTAATTTGATGTTAATCTGACGTATTTTCCATATTTCGATATCATTCCTCAATATCAAAAATTTTGATATTTCGATGTGATTAATAAAAAAAAATGCCATCGGCGATATCAATTATATTGAATAATCAAGTAATATCGATATATCGACGGTACTTAGGGTGAAGCACTCACGCTAATGACACAATGTCCCCTCGCTGCACCTGGTAGTCCCTGATGGCCCAGTGGTTGAGGAAGATGACGTCTCGTTTTGGCTCGTGGACAGGATTGAACACCGGCTGATCGCAAGGAGAAAAAGGACAAAACAGGAAGGCAGATTTATAAACTTTAGCTAGTGAAGTCACTATCACAAGCCATTAGAAATCAATCACAAAATAAGTCATTTAGACACGAGTCAGTCCTAAGTCAATCACTAGTGAACCACAAGTTGAACGCAAGTTATTCACAAGTCATCCAGCTTTAAGCAAATTAATTACCTTTGTCATATATCATTTCAGCAGCCTGACACTTCACTTGGGACTGGCCAGTCCCAAGTGAAGTGTCAGGCTGCTGAAATGATATATGACAAAGGTAATTAATTTGCTTAGTGAAGTGTCAGGCTGCTGAAATGATATATGACAAAGGTAATTAATTTGCTTAGTGAAGTGTCAGGCTGCTGAAATGATATATGACAAAGGTAATTAATTTGCTTAGTGAAGTGTCAGGCTGCTGAAATGATATATGACAAAGGTAATTAATTTGCTTAGTGAAGTGCCAGGCAGCTCAAATGATATATGACAAAGGTAATTAATTTGCTTAAAGCCGGAGTCCATCATTTGCAGCTATCCAAAAAGTAACTGGTGTAATTATTGTTGAAAAACATACTTGGTTGAAAGATAGTAAGGGGATTAAACTCCCTGTGAAATGATTCTTTCTGGCAAGCTGTCATTTTGAAGAAATCAATGAAAGAAGGCCTTTCCAACGGTGCGTCTTAAGAAGCACCGTTGGAAATTTCCGTTAGTAGGTCGTTTTTTATATTCAGCGAAGCGCGCGCAAGCATTGACACGACGCACACGCGCGCATGGTTGCTATAATTCGTCGGATCGGTGCGTGACATTGCGTAGCTGCAATCAGCTAGTGAGAACGTTTCTCGGACGCTGAATTCAGGCCTAATTCAAAACATGATTCAGCAACTTTTGATTTGAAATTGAGATCCTAGAATGTTGTTTTTCTCGAAATGTACAGCTGAAGCTGAGCTGAAACTTCATCAGGTTAGTTGTTCAGCACCCTTCTTTAGATTTTGAACACTTTTGTTGCTTCAAACGAACAAAATGCACAAATTGCAAATGATGGACTATACCTTTAAATCCAATGTTACATGTAAACCTGACCTGTGATTTGACTTGCAATTGACATTATAACTATGACAAAAATACTTATATTCAAATTTGGAAATCCACACTTTCTCATAGTGTGTGACACATGCAAGACACTGTAGATCCTTTCACTGGGAACGTTAGGCCAAGTACAAAAATAAACCAGTTTTTTGTCCCCGGCCGCTATTCTTTTTCTTTTTTTTATTCATACATTTGCAATATATTTTGCAAATAAAAATAGTGTCACAACAACCAAATGTACAAAGGGTTTGGCAGAAAAAATGTTGCAACCTGACGCCACTTCCACGATTGTGTACAAAGTCTATGGAGAGTCAAGAATTTTTTAAAAGTATTTCCTAACAAAATGGAAATGTTTCTCAGTCCCAGATTCATGTCTTATCATCAGTTTTGCAATGAATGACTTCATTGAGATGATATATGAAGACAAAAGTGGCGTCAGGTTGCAACATTTTTTCCGGTTTGGCTTCTTTGGACACAATTTTGTCAACAAAATAGTTGAGAAAATTGAAGAATCCATCTGCCATCTTGGAAATCTGCCATCTTGGGAAGAAGAAAAGAAAAAGATGCGCCCGCCTCCTTCATTTTTTGAAAAAGGCCGGACGAGAAACTATCTTTTGTATTACTTGGCCTTATGTTTGTGGTCACATGGTAAATCTCAGGGGGGTATTTCACTGAGAATATGTCACATCATGCCATTTTTGTACTCCCCAGCATCCTTTACTAGGAACTGGACCAAGTCCATCAAAATCTATCAATCACTGTGCGTCCAATACAAAACTGTACATGACATAATGGAATCCACAACTAATACACTGGTACTTTCATGGACTTGCTACACATGGCTCTTATCACATAGCAGTACAGGAAGCTAGGCAAAATCAATTGGATACCCCTATCCGCTCCGTTCACAAGTACCCCCTCACCAGCAAAGAAAATACAGTTGGGGGTGGCCGATCGACGCCATCTTGCCTGACTGCAATATTTTGCCGCAAAGCGCGGCCACTGCGTACCCTTGTACATGGTACAAATCCCCTGGTGTACGTGCGTCACACACAAGGAACGGTGCATGCGCGTCAATCAGTGAAATATACGAGTCCCGTCAATGGGACATTGTGCTAGGTAAAAGGGCGCCCTCTTTTGTTGGCGCACAGAGCCCATATAGTACTGCTTCAGGCCATTAGGCCCAAATCCACCAAACACCATTAACATTTAGTCACGCCAGGCCTCCTGGACCAAGTCCCCCAAATCCACCAAAATGGGGGGATGGATTTTGACGGAGTTGGGGTGCTTAGGAGTGAGGGTTAAACAGGATGGGAGGTAATTCCATTGAAATGTCCCCTGAAATTACAACATGACCACAAAGATGACGGTATTCATGAAACAGTCTATAAATACCTGCATAGATTTGCCGTCCACGGTGGCAAAGTACCCGACTTTGTCAAAGAACGTGAGTGAGCCACCAACCCCAAACACAAAGCCACCCGCGAATATCTTGAGTGCCTTTTTTGCTGTCGTCATCTCGTCAGAGTGGGCCACATCCACACATACGTTTAAAACTTACAATGGGTCATTCCATTTTGTCCAGGGTCCACATGATTGCTGTGGAGGAAAAAAGTATAAACAAGTTATTCGGTATCCAGTGAAAAAAAAACTTTTTGATTTTTTACAAAATGCCACCAAAACTTCAAGGTTTTCCATAGCCGGCATCATCAAAAAAGTCAGTTTTTGACCCAAAAATACAACTTTAAGGGCCTGTCACATTATATGCGCTCTCATAGAAGACCTTACGGCGATCAAAAATATCAAATAAATTTTAACAATCGCAGCGAGGACGCAAGAACATGAAAATTTTCTGTCGCAAGTGGCCAGAAAGAAGCTCAAGCTATACGCTCATCTCGCGCTTACGATGCACTCAACTTGCTCTCTATGCGCCCCTGTCAAGCCCAATTACTCGATCTAGTCGCTGCCACTGCACTGTCACTGCACCCACACTACGCTCTGATACGTCCTAGTAGCTTGCGTAGCGCTCTCTATTCGACCAGAATACGCTCAATTGACGTCACTTACGCTGTACAAATACCACGACAAAATGGTCAATCCACAGTCCAGTTTCAAATTTATTGTAGAAGTTCATTGGAGTGGAGTTACTTTCTCATGGAGACTACGTCGACAGCCTTGCGCCTAGGCTGCCTCAAAGCCACTTCAATGTCGCACGATTCACGCTCGCACAGCGCCCAAGTTGCGTCATTACGGCGCCCTGGCCAGAGCACATAAACTTTGGCGCTCATCAGAGACCATTAAGACCCTCCGGCGCCCGTCTGGCGACCTATGAAGTTGTCGCTGCGATCTAGTAGTTGTTCTTGTGCCCCAGCCAATTGTCCAGGATGCAGTGGGAGCACATATATGATCGCAGAAAGTGTGACAGGCCCTTTACCAAATTTCCTCAAAAGTTCACAAGAGGTGCCTAGAGACCAGAATTGAATTCCCTGAAGAGTTCAACTCATTACATTCAGTATCCAGTGAGAAAAGAACAATTTAAGGTTTTTTACAAAATGCCCCCAAAACTTCAACGTTTTCCATAGCCGGCATCATTGAAAAAGTCAGTTTTTCACCCAAAAATCCAACTTCACCAAATTTCCTCAACAGATCACACGAGGTGCCTAGAGGCCAGAATTGAATTCCCTGAAGAGTTCAACTCATTACATTCAGTATCCAGTGAGAAAAGAACAATTTTAGGTTTTTTACAAAATGCCCCCAAAACTTCAACGTTTTCCATAGCCAGCATCATCAAAAAAGTCAGTTTTTCACCCAAAAATCCAACTTCACCAAATTTCCTCAAAAGTTCACACGAGGTGTCTAGAGGCCAGAATTGAATTCCCTGAAGAGTTCAACTCATAACATTCAGTATCCAGTGAGAAAAGAACAATTTCAGGTTTTTTACAAAATGCCCCCAAAACTTCAACGTTTTCCATAGCTGGCATCATCGAAAAAGTGCCTAGAGGCCAGAATTGAATTCCCTGAAGAGTTCAACTCATTACATTCAGAATCCAGTGAGAAAAGAACAATTTTAGGTTTTTTACAAAATGCCCCCAAAACTTCAACGTTTTCCATAGCCGGCATCATCAAAAAAGTCAGTTTTTCACCCAAAAATCCAACTTCACCAAATTTCCTCAAAAGTTCACACGAAGTCCCTAGAAGCCAGAATTTGAATTCCCTGAAGAGTTCAACTCATTACATTCAGTATCCAGTGAGAAAAGAACAATTTTAGGTTTTTTACAAAATGCCCCCAAAACTTACACGTTTTCCATAGCCGGCATCATCGAAAAAGTAAGTTTTTCACCCAAAAATCCAACTTCACCAAATTTCCTCAAAAGTTCACACGAGGTGCCTAGAGGCCAGAATTGAATTCCCTGAAGAGTTCAACTCATTACATTCAGTATCCAGTGAGAAAAGAACAATTTTAGGTTTTTTACCAAAGCCCCCAAACTTCAACGTTTTCCATAGCCAGCATCATCAAAAAAGTCAGTTTTTCACCCAAAAATCCAACTTCACCAAATTTCCTCAAAAGTTCACACGAGGTGCCTAGAGGCCAGAATTGAAGTTCATTGGAGTGGAGTTACTTTCTCATGGAGACTACGTCGACAGCCTTGCGCCTAGGCTGCCTCAATGCCACTTCAATGTCGCACGATTCACGCTCGCACAGCGCCCAAGTTGCGTCATTACGGCGCCCTGGCCAGAGCACATAAACTTTGGCGCTCATCAGAGACCATTAAGACCCTCCGGCGCCCGTCTGGCGACCTATGAAGTTGTCGCTGCGATCTAGTAGTTGTTCTTGTGCCCCAGCCAATTGTCCAGGACGCAGTGGGAGCACATATATGATCGCAGACAGTGTGACAGGCCCTTTACCAAATTTCCTCAAAAGTTCACAAGAGGTGCCTAGAGACCAGAATTGAATTCCCTGAAGAGTTCAACTCATTACATTCAGTATCCAGTGAGAAAAGAACAATTTTAGGTTTTTTACAAAATGCCCCCAAAACTTCAACGTTTTCCATAGCCAGCATCATCAAAAAAGTCAGTTTTTCACCCAAAAATCCAACTTCACCAAATTTCCTCAAAAGTTCACACGAGGTGTCTAGATGCCAGAATTGAATTCCCTGAAGAGTTCAACTCGTAACATTCAGTATCCAGTGAGAAAAGAACAATTTCAGGTTTTTTACAAAATGCCCCCAAAACTTCAACGTTTTCCATAGCCGGCATCATCGAAAAAGTGCCTAGAGGCCAGAATTGAATTCCCTGAAGAGTTCAACTCATTACATTCAGAATCCAGTGAGAAAAGAACAATTTTAGGTTTTTTACAAAATGCCCCAAAACTTCAACGTTTTCCATAGCCGGCATCATCAAAAAAGTCAGTTTTTCACCCAAAAATCCAACTTCACCAAATTTCCTCAAAAGTTCACACGAGGTCCCTAGAAGCCAGAATTGAATTCCCTGAAGAGTTCAACTCATTACATTCAGTATCCAGTGAGAAAAGAACAATTTTAGGTTTTTTACAAAATGCCCCCAAAACTTCAACGTTTTCCATAGCCGGCATCATCGAAAAAGTCAGTTTTTCACCCAAAAATCCAACTTCACCAAATTTCCACCAAAGTTTACACGAGGTGTCTAGAGGCCAGAATTGAATTCCCTGAAGAGTTCAACTCATTACATTCAGTATCCAGTGAGAAACGAACAATTTTAGGTTTTTTACAAAATGCCCCCAAAACTTCAACGTTTTCCATAGCCGGCATCATCAAAAAAGTCAGTTTTTCACCCAAAAATCCAACTTCACCAAATTTCCTCAAAAGTTCACACAAGGTGCCTAGAGGCCAGAATTGAATTCCCTGAAGAGTTCAACTCATTACATTCAGTATCCAGTGAGAAAAGAACAATTTAAGGTTTTTTACAAAATGCCCCAAAAACTTCAACGTTTTCCATAGCCGGCATCATCGAAAAAGTCAGTTTTTCACCCAAAAATCCAACTTCACCAAATTTCCTCAAAAGTTCACATGAGGTGCCTAGAAGCCAGAATTGAATTCCCTGAAGAGTTCAACTCATTACATTCAGTATCCAGTGAGAAAAAAACAATTTTAGGTTTTTACCAAATGCCCCCAAACTTCAACGTTTTCCATAGCCGGCATCATCGAAAAAGTCAGTTTTTCACCCAAAAATCCAACTTCACCAAATTTCCTCGAAAGTTCACACGAGGTGCCTAGAGGCCAGAATTGAATTCCCTGAAGAGTTCAACTCATTACATTCAGTATCCAGTGAGAAAAAAACAATTTTAGGTTTTTTACAAAATGCCCCCAAAACTTCAACGTTTTCCATAGCCGGCATCATCGAAAAAGTCAGTTTTTCACCCAAAAATCCAACTTCACCAAATTTCCTCAAAAGTTCACATGAGGTGCCTAGAAGCCAGAATTGAATTCCCTGAAGAGTTCAACTCATTACATTCAGTATCCAGTGAGAAACGAACCATTTTAGGTTTTTACAAAATGCCCCCAAAACTTCAACGTTTTCCATAGCCGGCATCATCAAAAAAGTCAGTTTTTCACCCAAAAATCCAACTTCACCAAATTTCCTCAAAAGTTCACACGAGGTGCCTAGAGGCCAGAATTAAATTCCCTCAAGAGTTCAACTCATTACATTCAGTATCCAGTGAGAAAAGACCAATTTTAGGTGTTTTACAAAATGCCCCCAAAACTTCAACGTTTTCCATAGCCGGCATCATCAAAAAAGTCAGTTTTTCACCCAAAAATCCAACTTCACCCAATTTCCTCAAAAGTTCACATGAGGTGCCTAGAAGCCAGAATTGAATTCCCTGAAGAGTTTAAATCATTTCATTCAGTATCCAGTGAGAAAAGAACAATTTTAGGTTTTTTACAAATTGCCCCCAAAACTTCAACGTTTTCCATAGCCGGCATCATCAAAAAGTCAGTTTTTCACCAAAAATCCAACTTCACCAAATTTCCTCAAAAGATCACACGAGGTGCCTAGAGGCCAGAATTGAATTCCCTGAAGAGTTCAACTCATTACATTCAGTATCCAGTGAGAAACGAACAATTTTAGGTTTTTTACAAAATGCCCCCAAAACTTCAACGTTTTCCATAGCCGGCATCATCGAAAAAGTCAGTTTTTCACCCAAAAATCCAACTTCACCAAATTTCCTCCAAAGTTCACACGAGGTGCCTAGAGGCCAGAATTGAATTCCCTGAAGAGTTCAACTCATTACATTCAGTATCCAGTGAGAAAAGAACAATTTTAGGTTTTTTACAAAATGCCCCCAAAACTTCAACGTTTTCCATAGCCGGCATCATCGAAAAAGTCAGTTTTTCACCCAAAAATCCAACTTCACCAAATTTCCTCAAAAGTTCACATGAGGTGCCTAGAGGCCAGAATTGAATTCCCTGAAGAGTTCAACTCATTACATTCAGTATCCAGTGAGAAACGAACCATTTTAGGTTTTTACAAAATGCCCCCCCAAACTTCAACGTTTTCCATAGCCGGCATCATCAAAAAAGTCAGTTTTTCACCCAAAAATCCAACTTCACCAAATTTCCTCA